AATGACCAACTCTATTGAGCACTGAAGGCAGGGACTGGTAGAGGCACTACTCTCACTAAATGGCAGGACTGTGACCCTCCTTTCTCTTAACTGACCCTGCCTGACTCAGAGGCAGTATTTGCACGATGTTAATGGCTGTGCCCTTTGCCAACACCTCCCCTGCTCCAGAGCAGCTGATTTGCCTCCACAGGGACTCCCCAGGCACCATTTCCTCCAAACACCCAGACTGATGAACACAATCAAGCCAAGCCCAGAGCAGCTGTACAGCTCGAATTCAATTCCTGTTCAGGCTTAAAGAAGCACCAAAGAGGCTGAAATGTAACTGTTTTCCCCCAAGTCTATCAGCACATCTAATCAAAGCTGTTGCCTTTCCTTACAAACCTTCTGGACAGGTCCGTGGGGTTCTTCATTCAGGGCTAAATATTGAGCTTCCCTGCACATAAAAAAATGCTCTGTGAAACTTCAGACTAAACTTTAAAAAAAAGCTGGAAAACTAAGTCATAAACATGTGTCAGATGCTCCAGCACCACAAGCTGAACCAGCAGCAGAACTGTTGGCCTATATATATAATTAATCAACAAAAAACAATAAATAATAAGCAAGTCAGACAAGGCCACTTGCACGCCCAGAGCCCTGAACATTTAATGAGGTTCCCTTTGAAGTTAATGTGCCCAAAATGGGAGGCTCAGAATGAGCCACAAATATCAATATTGATTTCTTTTGGCACTATCTTGGCCAGAACCCCCTGGCATGGAGAGGCCTTTGGGCTGGAGCATTTTCAGTGTTTCTGTGAAAAATTAGCAGAATGCTAAATTTCATTTTGAATTTGAAATATGAATCTGAAATGTACTTTGCTCAAGCTTTGTTGAAGAAACAATTTATTATAGCACTTAATCTCCTTGATGAAAGAAAAGGAGATTTTAGCCTGCTAATAAGCTGTGTAGAAGCCATGACTAATTAACCTAATTGTAGCAGCCTGTGACAAAATGTGATTGTACTAAACCCATGCCTCAAGTAACTAGAATTGTCAAAAACTCAAAGGCTAATAAACCAACAGACATTAACAGAACATAAACACTAATAAAGTTGACACCAACCATATTATTTGTAACAAAATCTATACTACAACCATCACAAGAGACAATCTGAAGGGTATTCAGTATCTGAGAATGTAGAATTCACCATCTGAAATGCATAAAATTAGTGCAGATCATTGGCAAGTGACGCAGCTCTTGGAGCTGTGCAGCTCATGGGGCCAGGCAGGCTGGGGCTGGAGACACCCTTCCATCCTGTCCTGTCAAAGTTCAGCAGAAGGGGAAATGCAGAGAAGCATTTCTGGGCATCACACAGTTTCCATCTCAATCACAAACCCCAAAGACTCAGTGGGGATGAGGAAGCTGAGTGGGAAGGGCTCATCTAGAAGAGAATCACCTGGGAAGGGACTTGAGGTGACAGCCCCCCCTCAATTCCTGCCCACCTTGGAATAAGCCCCCACGTACTCCCCCAACAGAATCACAGAATCAACCAGGTTGGAAAAGACCTCTGAGATCATCCAGTCCAACCCCTGACCCAACCCCACCTTGTCACCCAGACCATGGCACTGATGCCACATCCAGGCTCTGCTCAAACCCCTCCAGGGACGGGGACTGCACCCCCTCCCTGGGCAGCCCATTCCAAGGGCTGATCCCTCTCTCTGGGAAGAACTTCCCAATGTCCAACCTAAACCTGCCCTGGGGCAGCTCAAGGCTGTGCCCTCTTGTCCTACTGCTGGTTCCTGGGAGCAGAGCCCGACCCCCCCGGCTCCCCCCTCCTGTCAGGGAGTTGCAGAGAGTGAGAAGGTCTCCCCTGAGCCTCCTCCTCTCCAGGCTGAGCCCCCCCAGCTCCCTCAGCTGCTCCTCACAGCACTTGTGCTCCAGTCCCTTCACCAGCCTCGTTGCCCTTCTCTGGACCTGCTCCAGCCCCTCCATGGCCTTCCTGAGCTGAGGGCCCAGAGCTGGACACAGCACTCGAGGTGAGGCCTCAGCAGTGCCCAGTCCAGGGGCAGAATCCCTGCCCTGCTCCTGCTGCCACCCTGTTCCTGAGCCAGGCCAGGATCCATTGTCTTTCTTGCCCCCCTGGGCCCCCCTGGCTCCTGTTCAGCTGCTGTCAGTCAGTCCCCCCAGGGCCCTTTCTGTCCCCCCACTCTGGCCCAGCCCGTGGGGCTGCCGGGGGTTGTTGTGGCCAAAGTGCAGGACCCGGCCTGTGGCCTTGTTGAACCTCACCCCGTTGGATCCTTCCCATCTCTCCAGCCTGGCCAGGTCCCTCTGCAGAGCCCTCCTGCCTTCCATGAAATGACCACCTGAAAAATACCCCCCACTGTCAGTTTGAGATGGCCCAGGGGGATGGAGGGCAGGCTGCTGTGGGGATGGGGATGGGGAACAGCTGATGGAAGGGATGAAGCCCTTGTTCAGTGATAACAGTCTGAGCTCTGAGGAGCAGCTCCCTGCTGGTCCCACAATGGGGATGTGCTCAGGCACGCTGGGCACAGAGGGCCTCTTCTCCTGGGTGTGTCAGGTATCACAGAATCATGGAATATTCTGAGCTGGAAGGGACCCACAAGGATCATCAGTCCAACTCCTGGCCCTGCATAGACTCCCCAACAATCCCACCCTGTCCTTGAAAGCATTGTCCAAACCCTCCTGGAGCTCTGGCAGCCTTGGGGCTGTGCCCACTGCCCTGGGGAGCCTGGGCAGTGCCCAACCAGCCTCTGGGGGAAGAACCTTTGGCTGAGATCCAACCTGAGCCTGCCCTGACACAGCTCCAGCCATTGCCTCAGGTCCTGTCACTGGTCACACAGAGCAGAGATGGAGGTGCCCCTCTGGGCAGGAGTGATACAACAATAAATCCTGAGGAATGAATGGCTGGGAATATATGACTATTAATAATTATTAAATGACTATTCCTTCTGGTGTAGATGCCCCTGAGCTGGCACTGGACCAACTTCAGCACAGCAGTGAGGCAGTGGCAAAAATCATGGTGAAGCACAAGGGGAACACAAAAGGCCATTTCACCCTCCCTGAACAGGACTGGCAGCACAGGAGGGGGCACCTCACAAAGAATACTCACTGCAAACCCAGAGGGTGTTTTCTTGGAGAATGTACCACCTGAGGGCAGGAGGCAAAGGCACCCTGGGGCACTACAAGTGTAATAGTCACAGAATCATTAAGGTTAGAAAAGACCTCTAAGATCACCAAGTCCAACCATCATCAACTCAGCACCACCACTAAACCATGTCCTCAGTGCCAAAAAACATATTTGTTTCCTAAGATGCATTAAAGGATCTCCAAAATGAGAGTCAGAGCCTGAAATCTTCCAAACCCATTGTGGAAGGAAGTTCACATTCCAGAGGAAACTCCGAGGACTGAAGTAGAGAGAAGCTTTGCTGCGCAGAACCTCCAAAGCAGTGCAGAAATCCAACCCAGAGGGGTCCAGAGAACTGAAATGCTCCATTCACCCCCTGTATTCCCAGGCTGAACATAGGCAGGGACGGAGTAGAGTTGAGAAAACCCATGATTTCAAGCAATAATATGGATGTACATCTTCAGTCCACACAGCCCAAAGACACAATATGCTGTTGCTAAGCCTGTATTTCATGGGCTTGATGGCTGAGTCTTCCTGATTATGTGCATTGACCCTAAATGTCCATTTAATTTGTCTTCGAAGAAGGAACAAAAGTAAAGCTGCTGCTGTCTGAACAAAAGATGATTAAGGAAAGGGTGTAGGATTTTTTTTAATTCCTTCATTATTATGGAAATATGCCTTTTAGAGGCTGAACAGAGCTGGTTCAGTGAGAAGTTCCAAGCTTATTTTATGGTTGAAAATGTGACTGTGACATTTAATATGAGGTAGGTCAGACAGAATGAGGCAGAGGCCGTGTCCCCAGTGCCAGTGATGAGACAGGGATGATAACTCCTGGTCAGGGCAGCCAGGAATTGTTCCATGTGGAATCACTGTGGGTCACCTGTGTTAGAAATATCAACTTTATTTGACTCTTGAGCTTCAGTGTGCAGCCGAACTCTGTGTTACCTGAAGGACAGTGTTTGCCCAGTTAAGCCCAGCCCAACACAGGCTTGCCTAGAAGGGCATGTGGCACCTTATGCCAGGGCTCCTGCAAGACTCTGGAGAGCCTCAAGAAACAACATAAACAGGCAAAGAATTTCAGACATGTCTTGGGCCTGGATGCAGATTTTCTGCTTGGTCATCCTCCAGGAACTACACACATCCTCTATGCAGAATGGTGGGAGGGAGAGAAAGGGAAAAAACAATGTCCCATGTGAAAATTTGGGAACTATCCCAATGAAACTGAGATGTCTTCACTCCCTACTTCACAGCACAGGGAAAATATCCCACAAAGGCAGCACAATGTAAATAAAACTGATCCTTAAATCAGCCCAGGTGCCAAACACTGATCAGAAGCCACGATCAAACAAGAGACACAACCTCAGCTCCAGTAAGGTGTGAATGAACATGCAAAACTTGGAGAATATTTTAACTGCTTCCAGAAAACAAATCCCACCCTGCTGAACCAGGTCCAAACCCAGTACAATTCACATCTGTTGATAAACAGGAGCAGAGATGGGATAACTCACGTCTCCTTGGGATGCTCTTCCTGCCCTCTCACTCCAAATCCATGGCAGGTGTTGGACCTGCTTATTGCCACGGCAGTGTTTTCTTGCAGATCTGGGAGCTCTCCCACCCCAGCACAGCTCTGCAGATGGTCTTATCAACCTTAAAAACTACTGTGGCATCTCCATGTCCTTTACAAACCATAACCACAAACCCCAGAGGGTGTTCTCATTCTAGAGGAGCCCCCCAAGGCGGTACCTGCAGAACTCTCTGTGTCTGTGGCCTTTCTCATGTATGGTCAGAACTTTGTTTACCAAGTGCCACAAGAACCCACCTGAAGGGCAGAAGGGTTTTTAGAGGAGGTAAGGGGTGGTGATTTCCCATGGTTCAGGTACCTTGATTCCTCCCCAGGAATGGTCAGACAGGAACTCCACAGGGCTCGTGACTCCAGGCTGTGCTGGGTATCTCAGCAGGAAATCCAGCTCTGCTGGGTTGATTTCTTTATTCATCAGGAGTATCTGTAATTCCAAACAGACAAGATATCCTTGAGCGGCAATAGAATCCAGCAGATTAATTATTCAATTAATCCAGCAGATTAATTATTCAAACCAGGTACCTGCCAAATGTGTGGCTAAAATGTACTCAGAGCCCCATGTTGGAGAGGTGAGATGGACATACCATGTAGGTGCTTGGGGTCTCCCCAAAACAGGAACGGGAATGAGGATGGAGATTGGCAACAGAAGAGGAACAAAGCTGGGAAAACCATGTGGCAAGTGCTATGATCCAGGTGGATGGGAGCACCCTGAGGAGCAGTCCCTGCCAGGGTGTGCTGCAGGTCCCTGGGCTGGGATCCACAGCTGGAGAGCAGAGAAATTCCTGGAGAGGAACCAGAGCATCCTTAGGGAATGCCACCAGGGGGTTGGCCATCTCTCACTGTCTTGTTCAATTTATAAACCAAGTGGAGACACACTGAGAGTGCTGGGAAAAATAAACAACAAACAAACAGCAACAACAATAAAACCCAAACCAAAATCCTCACCACCCTCCTGGCTCCTGCAGCAAGAGAATAAGCAGGTCCATGAGGTCTCAAACACTGAAGAGCACCTGGGACATTCCAATGTTTTCAGTACCAGTGGTGACTTTCAGGAATAAATGGAGTAAGACTGCCAGAGCCATGGTTGAGGTCATTCTGGAAAGCCCAGCTGGGGCCACTGCTCCAGGTGCAATGCCAGAATTCTGAAATCCCAGACTCCAAAAACATCCCCTCCAAACACCAGTTCTGGGAGGGGGGAAAACCGGTGCAGGGAGTGTGTGGTTTCCTTGCCACAGATCCTGGTTTGTATCCCAATGATGTCAAAAGGGCAGTGGCACTTAAGGTGTGCCTGGCACCTCTCCTGCCACTGAGGGCACGAGGGATTCAGCTAAAGAACCAACTGTTTTTTTCTATGGGAGCACCTGTGCCCATCACCCAAGTGCCTCCACACACTGACACTGGGGCTGCTGCTTTTCCTGACACATAAAGGGACTCATTAATTATTTTCAGTGTTTATTGTAGTTACAAGCACCATGTGTGCTACTGAAACACTTTATTTAGAGATATATGCTAAAAAATGTACATGTTCCATGGGTCAGAATTATGGCTGACATTGCAAAATATAACCTGACGTTTTACACACAATTTATTAACAAAATATCCTGTTAGAGTCCTTTTTTTTTCACATATACACTTTCCTTTTTACATAAAGTATTTTGTCATGTAGAATTAAAAGAAGTCTTGGCCATCCCTGGATTAAGGTTAACCAGCCCTGTAGTGTTTCAGCAGTTGGATCTTGGTTCAGATCTGCATTCTTGGAGGTATTTTCCAAACTTATTTAGTCTGTGATTCCACATGTCAGGCCATTTCCACAGTCATTCACTGCACAAACTTCATATCAACTTCACAACATCGTTCCAAGCACTATTTATTGATTAGATATACAAATGTCTCCTTGCTCAGATCATGGACTAAAAATTATACAAAATACTGGACATGGTAGAGCAGCAGTGTAGGAAGAATTTCTTCGGGATAAAAGCAATAAACCCTTCCAGGCCAGTTTGCTTTGCCCTGTTTTCCAGGTCCTGCCAGCAGGTATTACTGTCTCAAACAACCTTTGCCATCACAATTCAAATCCAACTCAGCATCTATGCCTGTTATTGGTGAGAGTCAGTCCTATGAGGAGCAGCTGAGGGAGCTGGGGGGGCTCAGCCTGGAGCAAAGGAGGCTCAGGGGGGACCTTCTGGCTCTGCAACTCCCTGACAGGAGGGGGTAGCCGGGGGGGTCTCGGGCTCTGCTCCCAGGGAAAAGGGAACAGGAGATGGAATGGCCTCAAGCGTGCCAGGGGAGGGTCAGGAGGAATTTCTTCCTGGAAAGGGTGGTCAGGCCTTGGCAGGGGCTGCCCAGGGAGGTTTGGAGTGCCCAGCCCTGGAGGTGTCCCAGGAAGGCCTGGCCGTGGCACTCAGTGCTCTGGGCTGGGGGACAAGGGGGGGATCGGGCACAGGGGGGATCCATGGGCTGGGAGGGCTTTTCCAACCTCAGGGATTGTGGGATTCTGAACCCTGCTCACAGAGTGCCACCCCTGGTGGTGTTACCTGGAAGGTGAGCTGGGCAGTGTAGGTCAGCCTGTCCCCCTCGAACAGCCCCCGGGCCGTGCTCTGGCACACGCAGAAGGTGATGCTGTCGCTGAGGCTCCTCACGCGCTCTGGGAGCCCCTCGGCGGGAGCCGCCCTCTCCATGGCTCTCTGGAACACCTTCTGGAATGCCTGGGGGGGACACACAGTGGGACATGTGACTCTCAGATCCCCTTTGCATGGTACCCCCTGAACTGCCACAGTGAGAGATGCCAATCTCTAGGGCCACCTGGAACATCTAGAGACCAGCCCCTGCATCTGCCTGTAGCTGCTCTTCAGGAACACAGAGTCTGGCAGTGGTGACATCCCCTGTGACACTGAGCTCTCCGGAGCCCAAGGGAGCAGCACAGAGACAGGCAGAGGGAACTCAGACACTGGGAATGATCTCTTACCAATGTGCTCCCACAGGGAGGACATGGGACACTTGCTCTGCAAATGTTGAGCCAGCAGAGAGTGGAGATCCCAGAGGACACATGGAATCACACACTGGTTTGGGTTGAAAGGGACCTAAAAGCTTATCCAGTCCCACCCCTTGCCATGGGCAGGGACACCTTCCACCAGCCCAGGTTGCTCCAAGCCCCATCCAACTTGGCCTTGGACACTCCCAGGGATGGGGCAGCCACAGGTTCTCTGGGCAACCTGTGCCAGGGCCTCCTCACCCTCACAGGGAAGGATTTCTTCCCAATATCCCACCTGAATCTGCCCTCTGGCAGTGGGAAGCCATTCCCACTGGTCCTGTCCATCCATCCCTTGTCCCCAGTCCCTCTCCAGCTCTTCTGGAGTCCCTTTGGGCACTGGAAGGGGCTCTAAGGTCTCTGTGGATCCTTCTCTTCTCCAGCTGAACACCCCCAGCTCTCCCAGCCTGGCTCCAGAGCAGAGGGGCTCCAGCCCCGTGATCATCTCTGTGGCCTCCTCTGGACCTGCTCTAACAGATCCACATCTTTGCTGTGCTGGGGACCCCACAGCTGGACACAATATTCCATGTGGGATGTCACAACAGTGGAGCAGAGGAGGAGAACACAACTCCCACTGTGCAAATGTTTCAACTCAGAGAAAAGCAATTGCTCTAAATAATAACAATTTCAAGAAGTCTTATGAGCACTTTACTGTCTGGATCCAGCCAAGGACTGGCCAAGAAGAGCAGGGAGCAGCACTGGTGGGATGGAGCAGCCAGTGAAGTCCCCTGGGGATGGGGACCTGCATCGAGAACAACCCTCTTATATAAGAGAATAAAGATTCTTGCAACAACATTTCTGATTTGAATGAGAAAAGACATAAAACTTTCAGAGCCATCTGAAGAAAAAACATTTTCAAATTATCAAATGCAACTGGAAAAAGAAAATGGAAAAGAAAATAAAACCCAAGTCCTGCTTAGCAATGCAAAGGTTCTGTAAGCTGGGCCCAGCTAAAGGAAATAACCATGGATGGCACAGACTGGCCAAGGCCTGACTGTGTTGGCAGTGTTATTTTGGGGGTTCTACAAAGGAAAAATGATGCCCCAACAAATTAAAGTAACATTGATACCTAATGCATTATTAATAATTGCAGAATGCATTTTCCTGCTTAACATTTCTTTAAATTCTGTTCAAACATGCTGCAGAGCAGCACATAAATCTTTGTGTTCTAATTTATAATGGGTTCTCAGCTGTGTGGCCAGTATTCTGAAATAATTTCTGTGCATCTTTACACAATGTTTTATGATCTGTCATCAAAATTTATTAGATAAAAACATTTCACCCAATAATTTTTCATGTATTTAGACACACTGCTAATATTAACTGGAAAACATAAAACAAACTAACTCTGGAAGATGCAGATTAAAGGTGAAGCCTCAGAAACCCCTGTATCTATTATGAATGTGTAGGGAATGAATCTTTCAAAAGGCACAAAAGATATTCTGTACATTTTTCTGATAAAATTACTCCAACAAACGAGTTGTGGATATAAAAAAGAAAAGCTTCTTTGTGGATCAGGCTCAACACATCGTAGTCTCTCCTCAATTCCTTTTTCCAGGTCACTTGTCAAGGTAAGAAATCGTTTGGAAGAAGTCCTAGACTAGGACTCCAACTCATTTAACTCTCCAGCCCCCAAAGAACCTTTCTTGTGATAAAAAAAGGTCTTCCATTTATTAAAGCATTAAACTGGAACTCTTTCTAGATGGTTGGAGCAACCTGGGCTGGTGGAAGGTGGCCCTGCCCATGGCAGGGGGTGGGACTGGATGAGCTTTAAGGTCCCTTCCAACCCAAACCAGTCTGTGATTCTGTGAACCTCAGTGAGAGAGAGCAGCTCTGAGGGCACAGCACCTTCAGGGAGAACTGGTACATGGGGTGGATGTGGTGGAGCTCGTTCATGGTGAAGTAGAGCAGGGAGGCCCTGGCGGCCGCGGGCCTGTAGTGCTCCCTGGCCTCGTTAATCTTGGCTTCCGTCACCTTGAAGTCCTGCACCTGCAGGGAAACACAGGACAGGATTCATGTGAGAACACCCCTGTGCAGTGAGTGCAGCCCAGGGAAGGTGGACATGGGCCACAAAGTCCTCAGGGCAGCAGTGGGCAACCCACACATGAGCACCACAGGGAGCAGCCCCTGCCCCCAAGACACGGTGCAGCCAGGCTTGAGCTGCCCCTCCAGCATCCCCCTACTCTGGAACCTTCCCATTTAACTGCATTTCCCATTCAGTTGCCCAATCCTCCATTTTCCTGAGTCCCCTCCAGACTCCTCCCTGGATTCCCTGCTCTCCACTAACTGGAACCCTTTTTCTCAACAATGAGTTTCTCCTGCTAATTGCAGGTCATTAACAGCACAGGGCTGAACAGCCCCAGTTCTCCTCTCAGGCAGCTTCCCCAGGGCTGGGAGGTGCTCATTTATCCCAGCTCTTTGTTGCCTTTCCTCAACAGCACTGAACACACCCCACCTTGCTGCTCAGGGCTGCAGCTGCTGTGATGGACATGTGGAAATCGTTTTTGGCAGAAACACCAGCCCATCATCGTCTCAGTTTGTTCTTTCATTCCACTTCGGCAGCACAAAGTGACGTCCTCGAGCCCCTCAGGGGTTATTTCAGGCTCTGTTTGTGCACAGACATGTCTTGTACATGGCCAGGAGCTGCTGAGCGAGAGCTGATCCAGCCAGCTCAGCAAACCATGCTGTGGGATCATAAAACCATGGAATGGTTTGGGTTGGAAGGGACCTTAAAGCCCATCACCCATGGGAAGGGACATCTTCCACTAGCCCAGGCTGATCCAAGTCCCATCCAACCTGGCCTTGGACACTTCCAGGGATGGGGCAGCCACTCTGGGCAACCTGTGCCAGGACCTCCCCACCCTCACAGGGAAGGATTTCTTCCTAATCTCCAACCTAAGCCTACTCATTTTCAGGTTAAAGCCATTCCCCCTTGTCCTGTCACTGCAGAAGGTCCCTCTCTGTCCCTCTCGTTGGCTTTCTGTGGCAGAGCAGGGCTCAGCAGGGCATCACACAGCCCCTGAAACACAGGCCATGGGGTCCCCTGGGCTGTCCCTGAGCTGGTGTGAGCACATCTGGCTGGGGTACCAAGCCTTCCCAAGGCAGCACAGACTGAGCCTTAATCTGCTGTGTGCAAACATCACCACACCTCAGCACCCCACAGCATCCAGGGGCTGAGCCTTTTTGCATGTGCCCACGAGCAGAGCTGGGCTGATTCATAATTCTAGTCAAATAAAACCCGGGGGGGGGCAGGCAATTGCTTTCCATAGACAGATCAGAGAGGAACTTCCATAGGAAGGAAAATGCTGCATGAACATTTTTTTTTTGGTATACAGACCAAAAACAGAGCAGCAAACCTCTGACAGGGCTCTGCAAACTCTAAAACTCAACCCTGTTGGTACAGAGCTCGCACTGACCATCTGTATAACCACAGCTGGTTTAGGAGCTGGAGCCCTTCAAGAACACCCAATTCAAGAGGGAGATGCCAAGCTGGCAGGTCAAAACATCTCTTTAACATCTCCTTTGGGGGTTCAAGCAAACCCTCCTCAGACAGTAAAATACATCTGATGCACCAATGGCTCCCAGAAATAATTCTGATTTTTAAGGTGGAGGGAGGATCTCTTAGTTTCTTGGTCACTGAGGCTCCAACACAGAGAGGTGAAAGGCAGTTCCAGCCCAACCCCATCACGAGGGTGACTCACCCCCAGCCAGTGGGCAAGTGTGGGCTGTGAAGATGGGAGGTGGTGGAGTCCCCACCCCTGGACATGTCTAAGGAACAACTGGCCGTGACACTCAGTGCTCTGAGCTGGGTGACAAGGTGGGAATCAGGCACAGGGTGGACTCGGTGGTCTTGGAAGTCTTTTCCAGCGTAAATGATTCTGTGACTGTGGCTGCAGAGGGAAGCAGCTGAATGGCCATACCAGAGTCCTGGTACAATCCTGGCATGAGAACCACAATTCCCAAGTTCCCTCAGTGGCAGGAAAAACCACAGTGCATCTAGCTGAGCCCAGCCAGCCCGCCAGGGGAACTGGGCAGTGCTGACACTCACAGCTCATACCAACATTGATTTATACTCTAAAGAATGGAAAGGTATGAAATGACCAAGTTCCTGCAGATTTACTCAGGATCACAAACTCACCAGATGCCAGTCCCTGGTCAGCACTAAAATCCAGCTTAGCTGAGGCAGTGTGATGTACTCAGGATTAGGTTGGCACCGTTTAAAGCTGCCTTGATACAGTGTGTAAATTTTATTGTCTTTACATCAGACACTGATGTTTTCACTTGGTCTTAAATAGGTCATTTGACACACAAAAGCTGCAAAGCACCAAATGGCCTGAAGCTCTCCAGAGTGGAGAGCACTGTAGTTTATACCCATTTCTCTTCTCTGCTGAGCAGAAGGAGCAGAGATGGGCAGAGCAGAGGTGACATTCCACCCAGAAATCCTCAAAGATAACATCACACACACACTTTTCTCCAGGCTATCACTGTCTTTGTACCTTCTCCTCGATTTCTGCAGCTGTCTGTTTAGTGATCTCCAAGTTCTCCACCAAGACTGTGTCTCCCAGGAAATTCCCAGATGCTGATGACAGCCGAGAGAGCAAGTTGTCCTCTAATGTTTTCAAGGTGATCTTGAATCCATTCTGCTGCTTTGTGAGATCTGACTGCAAATGAGAAATTCAGAAAGTTTTAGCCACCAAACATGTGGTAAAGGAAGGATTAACCAACTTCCCATGGGAACAGGCTTCTCACTGAAAACTGACATAGTCCAGTAGTGCTTATTCCTGCTCTCTGCAACTCCTGGGAGTGGGTGGAGCTCTAGGATCACTCCACATCCAACAAGCCATCAACTCAGAGAAACCTTGAACAGCACAGGAAGCACCAGGAAAGCTGAGCCCTTTCACTAGGAATGTATGAAAATGCTGGGGATGAACCAGGAACCTTTATCCCCATCTCAAACATATCTCCTGTATCTTTGTTCCTGATTCAAGTCAGAATGGACAGTCCCTCTGCTCCTCCCCCCTCCTGATGAACTTACCCCTCCACACCCCACCAGTCACACCAGCAATGGGGCCACGGGGATAAAACCTGGTGGCAAATCCAGCAGCAAAGTCCCTCAGGCCCTGAGAAGAACAGGAGATGCACCTCAGGCTCAGGACTGAGGGCAAAGCTGAGGCCTCATCTATTGCTGCTCCTGTTTGTAGCCTGGCCTTGAAGTCCCACAGGGACCAGTGGCTTTCTGGGCTAAAGCTGTACATGCACAGAGTCCTCCTGCCAAAGGATTTGCAAACTCAGCACAAGCAGATACAGCCAAGAAGGCCAAGCAGATAGCCCAGTACAACCATCCTGCCTCAGGGGCACATTTCTGAATCACAGAGTAAATCCTTCCCATTTCTCTGGTCCCCTCTCCCTCTCCCCTGTGGAAGCACCATCATTAATGCTGTTCATGGTGGAAACAAAGACTCTCATCCATCTCCTTTCTGAGCTGCTCCTCCAGAACAGGTTTTATCCCATGAAATGTGATTGCCTTATTCTATGTGTTGGCTCAGAGAAACTGCATCTCTCCTGGATTTCAGGTATATTATGTCGTTCCACGATATGGCTCTATTGTGAATACCTATTTTTAGAGTTACCACAGCAAACATCCTGTGGGAAGGCTGTGCCTCTGATTGGGATGCTGCTGAAGAGCTAAGCCTGGTGACTATTCTCTGCATCAATGAAGTCAGTCACTACCACCCTGCTACATAAAGCACTACTGGGTGACAGTTTAAATCCTCAGACTGTGGTTAAGTGGCACAACCAAGAAATTCAAGTAACTTTAAGTGTGTTTTATAGCCCTGCAACCATCCAGCTCTGGAGTACAGCAGACGTGGGACACGTGGAACTGAAACAAGTTCTGAGCAACTGGCTCGTGACAGATTCAGTGTCATAAACCAAGTGATCCAAGGCTCCAAAGACAGTTTTGGGAAAAAATGTCCCCCTGTAGGGTCTGGAATGAGAAATGTGACCCTTTGCCTCTCCCAGCCCCACCATGCAGGATGGAGCCTGCTCTGCTGGCAGAGGTTTCCCAGCAGATGAACTGACTCTGTCATTAATAACTCATCTCTCAACATTTGGGCTGAAGTTTCCTGTACTTGCTGTGCACACACTCATTCCACGTTCATGGCAATTCAGGTGCTCAGCAGGGTGGGCACTGAAGTGTGTTGGTTGTTGGTATTTCAGCTGGAAAAGGCTGTTTTGAAGACTTGTTCCTGGCTTTCCACCCAGGAATTGGCCTGTGGTGGTAAATATTTTACAAGTCTTGAGCCAGAAAATGAACAGAGCAAATTTTGTGTGTTTCTGCCATTCAAGCATAGCAAGCCTTGAAAAATGACATCTGCAAGCTATTATTCAACCCCTTGGATTATGAGCCTGGAGTTATTAATGAGGAGGGGGTGGATTTTTGCTCCAATAGCTTGTAATCCCCACCCAATTCTGGAAGCACCCTCAGAAGTGCAGACAGCTCTGGGTCCCCCCAGCACCTGCAGCTTTATCCTGCCATGGTTTGAAGCAGCAACAAGGTCATGGTTCCTCATTTCTGCACTGGAGCTCATTATCTGTTATTTCACAGCTGATATATAACAGTGCTAATTCTGAGAAACAGGTTATTCCCAGAGCCTTCCCCTGCCAACCCCTTCCAAGCTCAGCCAGAGCAGCCACCTTTCCTTTTCCTTTCTGTTGGTTTTGTTGTTTTATTTTAACATCACAAACCAGAGGGGAAAAATTCCCTGTGTTTTCATAGAATCACAGACTGGTTTGGGTGGGAAGGGACCTCAAAGACCATCCAGTTCCACCCCCTGCCATGGGCAGGGACACCTTCCACCAGCCCAGGTTGCTCCAAGCCCCGTCCAGCCTGGCCTTGGACGCTTCCAGGGATGGGGCACCCACAGGTTCTCTGGGCAACCTGTGCCAGGGCCCCACCACCCTCACAGGGAAGAATTCCCTCCTGATATCTAATCCTGCAGAGCACCTGAGGAAGAATCCCAACACTGTCCATCACAGCCTGGCTGTGCAAGGATTTCACACACACCATAACCAGTGAAGTCTGGAGTTGATGGGAGACACCTGAAACCAGCCCTGGTGACACAACTGGAGCAGGGCAGTGCCACCAGCACATGGAGCAGAGTCATCCCCACCAAAGGGAATTGCAGATATGACCAGATAAAGGCCAAAGGGTTTGGACTGACCTGAGAGGGAAGGTCTTGGGATTTGGCTTTGCTTGCCTTGGCCTAAACTGGTTTGAGCTTCTCTGAGCTGTGACCATCTCACAGTCAGGTCCTGCTGCCTCACCCGGGGCCAGCCTGGTTCTAATGTCCAGGGAGAGCATGGAGTTGTCCTGGACAGACTGATCTGTCCCCAGAACCACCACAGGGCAGAGTCTCAGGCTCTGCCACAGGAATGCCACCCTGGGAAGATGGCAGAGCTTCAAAGTAAGGAGGGAGAGAAAGATGGATAACTGGGAATCAATGAAGACAGAGATTATTGGATATAGGCTGTGCTGAGGAAACATTTTAAAAAGGTTGGTGTTATTGGAATTGGATCAATAATAGCTGTTTGATGGATTTGGATCAGGTTATTAACAAAAAATCCTGGGCTCCACATATAAGGTGTGCTCTGAGATCAGTAACTGTTTTGCAGTGCTCTAGGAATCACTTCCATCTGCCCTTGAGCCAGAGCCTCAAACCTTCCCAGGACACTAACCTCTGTCCCTTTAGTCCCAGGGTGGAGAGGATGAACTAACACACACATAGAGAGGTGACCTCTCCTCTGGGGAACCCAAACATCCCAATCTGAGCCTCCAAGGAGCTCCCCAGTGATCAGATCCAGCCCTGGGGCAGAAGGTGCTGAGCCCCTGCCCAGCCCACCCCCAGGTCAGGGCCACTGCCAGTCCCTCCCATGTCCAGGAGGCACAGCTCTGCCTTTAGCCCAGCAGGGAAGAGATTTGTCTGACTGACTGTTCACCATCCAGCAGAACATCTGGAACATCTGGAACACCAGGCTGCCTTTCTCCTCCCTGATCCTGACCTCCCTGGGGCAGCAGGGCTGGAGCAGGATGGGAGCAGATGAGGGAGAGAAGAGATGGTAAACTCTGGTGTTATCTTGTTGTGGGGATAGAGAGAAATAGATCTTAAATATTCTTAAATATAAGGAAAATGCCATCCCACACCAACTGTGTCAGCCCAGCACAGAGCCCTCAGACCAAGGGCTTTGTGTCCTTCGTGTCCCCAGAGAGACAGTCATGGCTCACACATTAAATCTGTTTATTATGTGTTTTTGAGGCCATCTTTTGGCTCATTAGCACATGAGCCTGGTTCAAACTCAATGCATCATTAAGGCTACCCAGCTAAAGCACTTCAGAACCTCATTAAATGGAAAGATTATTACAAAACCGGCTTGGCCTGACTGAACATGTGCAGTAAATTTATTCCCGCTCTCAGAAAATATTTAGTATTATACATGTTTGTTAGATGGTTATATGTGTCATTAGAACAGGGGATTTTCTTTATAAAATTATCTTGGAATTGAAGCCATACTTATTAAAAGAGAGAGAGAGAATATTTTGGCCTGTTATAAAGAAGTGGGAGGAAGAACCAGGAAAGGAAAATGTCGTTACCAACCTCACAATATTTACACAGAGAATCCTATACCATAAATGCTGAAAACTGAGATTAATCCTGCTCCAAAATTAAATCTGTGAAATCCAGAAAAACCTGATATAATGAGAATCTCAGTTTCCAGTCACAGGAGGAGAAGGAAAATAAAGTGACTCGTACCCAAATTTTGGGAGAAAAAACTTGAAATTGCAATACAAATTTTGCCAAAATACCTAGAAAACAAAAGAGTGAAGGAAAAAAATCTTCAATTCGAGGGAAATCTCCTGATTTTATGATGAGCTTAGTAATCTCGGTAACCTTCCAGGTGAAATGTTGTTTTCTTTACATTACAATAACAATAACAATGATGATGAAGATTATAATAACAATAACAACAATATAATAAGGAGAAGGAGAAGCAGTAGCAGAAGCAGCAGTAGAAGAAGAAGAAGAAGAAGAAGTGGAAGAATCAGAAGCAGCAGCAGCAGCAGCAGAAGAAGCAGAAGAAGGAGATAATAACAATAGTAACAATAATAATAATAATAACAATAATAATAATTTATTCTTGCTCCCAGTGTAAACTGCAGCTCCTGACCTTGAGCTCCTCCAGGTCAGGCCTCTCCATGCTGACCACGGCTGCCAGCAGCTGCTCCTCCAGCCCGTCCCTGGTGACGGTGAAGTTGATGAGGGTGCACTGGGCCTGCAGCTCGGGTGGGAAGTGGGGGTTTGCCAGCTTCGTGTGCAGGATGAGGCGGAAAGCAGGGCTGAACTCACACTCTTTGTCCCCAATCTTGATGTACCTGCAATTAGAAGATGAGCCAGGAGGTGGTTCACCCCAGGGTGGTTCACCAGAGGACAAATGGAGGTCTCGGTCAGTGGCACCTACCAGGACTTGGCACTTGACACACAAATCACTATTAGAGCAAAAGTACTAAAAATTGGCAGTGACACCTGAGTCCCTTCTGATCTAGGAGAAAAGTCCCAGAAAGCTGCCCCTGCATCTTGGATTCTGTTTGAGAAGGCTCACGTTTTCCAGCAGCAGCATGGCCACTCCAACCATGAACCCTCCTGGCTATTGAGAGAGGCTGAATTCTACCTTAAAGTTGGAGTTACAGGGAGGAAAAGCCTCTCAGCAATGAGGTCACGGGTTTGATACTCATATGGGCCATTCAGTTAAGAGCTGGACTCGATGATCCTTGTGGGTGCCTCCCAATCCAGAATACTCTGTGATAAATCTGTGGCAACTTTTCATTGGTCACATCTAGAATTGCCCAGTCTGTTGGCTCTGATCAGGCCAACTCTGCAGTTGCACTGAGCTTGAGCAGTGAAGCCACATGTGGAGAGCAACTGGTGGGCATTCAAAGGAGGTAACATCTCCCAGGAAAACTCAATCTCCTCCTGTTTTGCACTTCTGACATGAAGACTAAAGCTCACAGTAACATGACCTGAACCTAAGTTTAACCCAGCCCAGAAAGCCAAACAAATCCTGGGCTGCACCAAAAGCAGTGTGGGCAGCAGGTCAAGGGAGGGGATTCTCCCCCTCTACTGCCCTGGTGAGACCCCACCTGAAGCACTGGGAACAGTGTTCCCCAGCATGAAAACAACATGAAACTGTTGGAGTCCAGGGGAAACCATGACGTTGATAAGAGGACTGGACACCTCCCCTACAGAGACAGGCTGAGAGAGCTGGGGCTCTTCAGCCTGGGAGAGAGAAGGTTTTGTGAAGACCTAATTGAGTCCTTCCAGCATCTTAAAGGGCTACAGGGAAGGTGGAGAGGGACTGTTCATCAGGAACTGGAGTGATGGGATAGGGGAGAATGGCTTCAAACTAAAAGAGAGTGGGGTTAGATGGATAATAGGAGGAAATTCTTCCCTGTGAGGGTGGGGAGGCCCTGGCACAGGTTGCCCAGAGAAGCTGTGGCTGCCCCATCCCTGGAAGTGCCCAAGGCCAGGTTGGACAGAGCTTGGGGCAACCTGGGCTAGTGGAAAGTGTCCCTGCCCATGGCAGGGGGTGGGCCTGGATCGTCTTTAAGGTCCCTTCCAACCCAAACCATTCTGTGATTCTATATTAACAAAGCCCATGGGAACCAGAGACCAAGAGAAACTAGAAATGTTTTCAGGACTGCACTGGGACTGCTGCAGGAATGGTGACATTGTCAGGGGAGTTTGAACACTCTTCCCAGCCAAACATCACTCACTCAGTGTCCTCTTGGCCCCTCAGTTACTTTTACAGCTGTGAAACAGAGGCAGAGAGAAACCACCCAGTACAGGAACCACAGGGATGGTGGGACTGACAGTGTCTGTCCATGAGGTCTGGGCTCATGGTCTGGGAACACGAATCTCATGGACTTCCTATGTGATTCATAATTCATTTCCCCTTTCTTAGGAAGCACATGATCCCACAGAGAGTTCTGAGAGCAGACACATACAGCCCCAAAAGGTGTTTTCCTGGAGGGGGGATAAGGATTGGCACCCTCACTCTTGTACCCCCAACTCAACATTCTTCAGCATTTCAATCCCTTCCCTGGGACTGATTTTCCCCCTCCATCCTGCAGCCAAACCCACACTCAGCCATCCTTCTCATGGTGTTTTCCCCTGCACAGTTTGCAGACAGTTTGCCTTGCCCAGCAGTTTACAACACCCTGGGGTATTTTAGGCAAGTAAGGAAATAATCCTTAAGAACGTAAGGACAAAGGGCTGCCCCTGTCTCTGACCTCCTCTGGGCTGGAGGGGCCCAGAGTTGCCACAGAGAACTTGACCTCATTAAGAAACACTTTATATCCTTAATGCTCAAACCTGGAGCTGTATTCCTGAACTCTGTGCAGTGTTTGCTAAAATTCAAGGCTACTTTTACTCCACAACAGCAAGAGCTATTTTGGTAATAATTTAGTGTCAGGACAGTGGTCACTACACAGGGAGACAATTACAGGTCTCTCTTTTCATGTGAGGTTTGAATGACATCGTGCAATGAAATGAGAAATCCAGGTTGATTTTCAAGCCATCCTGTGTCTGAATTACCTGTGATTGCCTGATTTAAAAAGCCTTCACCCCTGAAGGTAGGATGCCACTGCTGCTGGATCTGAATAGCCACGATCTGAGGTGAGGAACAGAGAGCACAACACCCCCAGCCCCCACCCGCATGTACCACCAACCCCTCCTCCCCAGCTCACCTGCCTTTCTTGATTGTTTCTCGCCCCAGTAATGGTCCCAACACTGGATCCACAGATTCCTCCAGGTTTTCAATCAAAACCAGTTCTCCTGCAGCCAGAGCTCGTTCCAGCGTGTCCAGGTACCTGTGGGGAGCAGCACTGGTAGGTACCTCCTGCAGCAGAGCAGGGTGTGACACTGTTATTGAGGAGGATGTGGGGACAGACAGGGGTCCACACAGCTACAGGCACGTGGCAACATTTGGGGAGAGAAAGAGGGGTAAGAGGGGGTCAAGGCCTGATGCAGAAAGTGGCACTTACAGAGTCTGGGCTGGCCAAAAAAGAGAGTGAGGTCTCAGAGCTCCAAGAGCAAGCAGTGATCACTATGACTTTCCCAAGAAGAGTCTGGGCATCAGTGAGCAAAACTGGAGTTGTTTTTAGCAAATACCTTGTTTCCCCCAGAATCCATTGGTGCAGTTCACCTTATTTTGATCCCAGATCAGATCCAGTAGCTCATTATTTTCTAGGAGGAAAACTGAGGAGGCACCAGCAAAACAACCTGGGCAACCACAGAGGAGGCACCAGTGAAACATGGGCAACCCCAAGGCATCTCCAAATCTACATGAATTTTCAAGCACCAGGCTTGGGCCACTCTTGGCTGTTGCCAGAGCTTTCCCCTGTATTCAAAACCAACCTCAGTGCTCGGACATCTCAGCAGGGTTTTGACTCTGGGGCTCCTCACTACTGGGCAGAGATGGGTGCAAGCTGATACAGCAAGAGAGCAGTCTGAGGGCTGACTGGAGATAAGAACCAGGAGTGGAAAAGCGTTCCCATGAAAGATTTATCTGGATCAATGCAGGGGTGCTGCAATGAGAAAGTCCAGCTGGTGCCAAGTGGGAGCAGCATCAGCCCAGCTGGTCTGCAGGGCATGGTGACCCTCCTGGCAGCTTGGTTGTCCATGCCAAGCCCTCTCTCTCTTTCCAAGAGGTAGGAAGCCCTGCTCACCCTCCTGGATGAGACTAAACCAGGACATGACATCTGCAATAAACCCGATGGAGGACACCACAGGCCTGTTGCCCAGAGGAGCTGTGGCTGCCCCACCCCTGGAAGTATTCAAGGTCAGGTTGGATGGGGCTTGGAGTAACCTGGTCTAGTGGAAGATGACCCTGACCATGGCAGGGGGTTGGAATGAGTTGAGTTTTTTACGGTCCCTTCCAACCCAATCTATCCTGGGATTCTGTACCACACAGAGCTCTCCTCAGCACACAGCACACTCCATCCTCACTTTCAGAGGAGTTTCTATGGTAACTGAGCCAAGCTCTAACCAGACCCCTTGTTTAATGAGAAATCTCCATCATTTTGGTAATGAATAGCAGATAGTTTTCTAGTGTTGTGTCCAGCTCTGGGCCCTCAGCTCAGGAAGGACATGGAGGGGCTGGAGCAGGTCCAGAGAAGGGCAACGAGGCTGGGGAAGGGTCTGGAGCACAATTGCTGTGAGGAGCAGCTGAGGGAGCTGGGGGGGCTCAGCCTGGAGAGGAGGAGGCTCAGGGGAGACCTTCTCACTCTCTACAACTCCCTGACAGGAGGGGGGAGCCAGGGGGGTTGGGCTCTGCTGCCAGGAACCAGCAGTAGGACAAGAGGGCAAAGCCTTGAGCTGCCCCAGGGCAGGTTTAGGTTGGACATTGGGAAGTTCTTCCCAGAGAGAGGGATCAGCCCTTGGAATGGGCTGCCCAGGGAGGGGGTGCAGTCCCCGTCCCTGGAGGGGTTTGAGCAGAGCCTGGATGTGGCATCAGTGCCATGGTCTGGGTGACAAGGTGGGGTTGGCTCATGGGTTGGACTGGATGATCTCAGAGGTCTTTTCCAACCTGGTTGCTTCTGTGATTCTGTGATAATATGAGCAAATCCAGAGTTGGATTTGCCTCAGTGTCACTGGCTCTGACAGCACAGTCAAAGAGTCAAACAAACACCCCAGGCAGCCCATCCCCAGTGTCACTGTGTGAGGAGGCTGCTTTACCCCTTGTTCCCAACCCGGAGCACTCGGAGCCCTGGGCCATATCTTGCTTTGATCCATTGGATGCCCTGGAGCTGGGGGTCCACCAGGAGGGGCCAGCGCTCGCAGGTGCTCAGGATGGTGGCGTTCTCAGCAGAGGTGCGGTCGGCCGGGAGCCCCTCGTTGTGCCAGCCCGCCACGGCCGCCTCGTCCGCCAGCATGGCCAGGGGGTCCAGGCACGGGCTCACAGGGATGGGCACCTGGGGGGAGAGGACAGAGGCTTCTAGTGGGTTATTTCACAGAAAGTTAGCTTAATTAAAGACTGATAAAGCAGATTTATCTGCATCACCAGCAGCGTGAGCAGGTTGAGGGAGGGCATTTTCCCCACCTACTCTGCTTTGATGAGACCCCATGTGCAGAGCTGCCTTCAGCTCTGAAGGAACCAACATCAGAAGGATGTGGAGCAGCTGGAGAGAGTCCAAAGGAGGCCATGAAGACACTCTGAGGGCTGGAGCCCCTCTGCCCTGGAGACAGGTTGGAACAGCTGGGGAAGAGAAGGCTCCAGGGAGACCTGAGAGCCCCTTCAAGGGCCTAAAGGGGCTCTGAGAGAGCTGGAGAGAGACTTTGGTCAAGGGCCTGGAGGGACAGAACAAGGAGGAATGGCTTCAAGACAGAGGGCAGGGTTAGATGGGTTACTGGGAAGAAATTCTTCCCTGTGAGGGTGGAGAGGCCCTGGCACAGGTTGCCCAGAGAAGCTGTGGCTGCCCCATCCCTGGGAGTCTCCAAGGCCAGTTTGGATGGGACTTGGAGCAACCTGGGCTGGTGGAAGGTGTCCCTGCCCATGGCAGGGGTTTGGAATGCGATGTCTTTAGGGTCCCTTCCAACACAAACCATTCTATGATTCCATGATTTATCACTGGTTTTCCATTCTACAGGGTCCTTTTGATCTAGTTTTCTTTCCCCAATCCTGTTTTAAACAAACACAAACTTTACAAGCAATCTAAGGTTTTTGCCTGCAGAGCCCTAAACCAGCCCAAGCCCCACTGGCTCAGATCACACTCCTCCCTGTCCCTCTCTCTGAGACAGCCTGGAAGGACATCACTAACCCCCTCATAAGGCAGCTGTTCTGCTGCAAAACAGCATTAGGAGGCCCAGAAATGCTTCTCTGACAGGGGAGGCCATTGCTGGGTGTGACAGCCAGAGTTACCTGTGCCAGATGTCTGAGCAGAGTGGGCCTTTCATTTCCTATTAGAATCTGAGGCATATCCTTGAAATTTCTAAGCACAGAGTCGGGTCATTTTTGGAACAATACTGCATTTCTTAACTAAGTTTCTGTCTTAGTATTAAAAAACACAGAATGAATTTTTTCCTCTCTCAAGCTAAGGAACTGGCTGATTTTGTCAGCCCTTTGATTTGGCCATCACTGCCCCACTGTGATCTTACTTAAAAGATTCTTGGCATTATTTCCTGATGTATGAGAGGAACCTGCTAAAAATTAGCAAAATATTAAATGAGTTTGCAGCATGATGATCTCCATCTGGTCCTAACAGCAAGACATGGATACAACCAGCTGAGAGGCATGGCCAGCACGAACAGAGCTTGTGTCCAGCATTAAAGAAACACCTGGAGCTTTTCCAAGCCTACCAGAGAGCTGGCAGTGAGCTCTGCCTGCTCCAAGCAATTCCTTCTCCATGCAAGTCCCTCCTTCCAGGCCATCCCTGATGGCTGGTCAGAACTGCAGAGTATCATCCTGGGCTCCAGGCTTGGAATTTTTCTCTGCACGTGGAGGAATCAAGACAATTTCATGGAGCAAGGACACCACAACTGCCCCACAGAGGCATAAATCACATGTGGCTACGTCCTGCTCCCTAACCCAACTCAGCAGGGACACAGGGCTGCCCTTCATTTGAGAGATCCTCTCCCTTGGGGATCCTTGTGGACATCAGAATTCATGTTAATCCCAGGAACAGCAGCTTTTCAGAAGAATCAGGACTTACTTTGAGCTGGTGCAGATATGGTTTCCAGACACCCTCCAGGAGGTCCTGGCGGTATTTCCTGGTGAAGTAGCCCAGGTAGGACACGAAGGCCGTGATCAGCAGGACATCCCCACACAAGGTGCTCTGCTGCTCTTTGAAGGCCTTCACAGCCTCAGCCCATCTCACGTTCTCAGAGGCCAGGCCCCCAACCTGCAAATGCCCAAATCAAATTAAACGTTCATAGACCAATGGAATGGGTTGGAAGGGTGAAGGCTCATCTCATTCCACCCAGTTCCACTGGCAGGGACACCTTCCACCATCCCAGGTTGCTCCAAGCCCCCTCCAACCTGGCCTTGGACACTTCCAGGGATGGGGCAGCCACAGCTTCTCTGGGCAACCTGTGCCAGGGCCTCCCCACCCTCACAGGCAAGAATTCCTTCCTAATATTTAACCTAATCCTGCCTTGTCAGTTAAAAGCCATTTCTGCAAATCTATTTTAATGGGAAAAAAATGACACTATTTAGGCAAGATAGTCTGGGAGACTGGTGCAGGAGGGAGGGAAGTGTTAAGAGGGATGATGGCACATGGTGTGACTCTTGGGGATGATCCTGTGCAGGGCTGAGGGTTGGATTCAGTGATCCTTGTGGGTCCCTTCCATCTCAGCACATTCTGTGACTGATCTTTGTGCTCAACAGCCACTGATGATTTTTCCCTTCATGACTGAGCCAAAGCTGCTGTGGATACCAACCAAACTTTTGGCATCTACAGCACCCTGTGGGCAGCAGATGCACAGTTCAGCTGTGCTTCCTGTAAAAAAGTACATCTCTGACGTGCTGCCTGAACTTTTCAACTGATAAAACCTGTTGGTGCAGTGGAAAACCAGTGGAATGATCCTGCTGGCACCAGCTTCTCCGCACCACTCAGTATTCCAAGCCCTCAGTACCCCTCTGCTGTCTCCTTTGGAGTTGAAGAGCTTTAGCCTCTTCAGTAATTCCTCACTCAGAAGCAGCCTTTTCATTTTCCTTGCAATCTTTATCCGTACAGAATGATGCAATCTTTATTATCCAGTTTCTTTTATTGTTCCTGTCTCTGCACCATTTCCATTCTCCTCCAGCCTTTGAGGTGCAGCAGAGGGGGTGGTGGGAATGCTGCACATTCAAGATTTATTTAGAATGTATTCATACAGAAATGGGGGTTTTTCTCTGTTTTGTTCTCTCTTCTTTTCCTAATAAACCCTAACATCCAGTTTCAGATTGGTTTGGGGTTTGGTGAGGGTTTTTTGCCTCTGGGAGCACAGAGCTCACACACTCACAGAACTCTTAGCTCCAGCCTTTCATTCCAGACTGATAATAACCTGCTCAGCACCACTTACAGGGCATGCAAAGTAAAACTTGATTTTTCCAATATACACTATATTACATTTATCTACCTGGTGTTTCATATCTGCATCACTTGGGATCATTTTCACAATTCTTTATAGACTGTCTACATCATCACTGTGAAACCATGCGCCCACGCACCAGCTCATCCTGCTCGACTGTGATTCAGAGAATCACAGAATCTCAGAATGGTTTGGGTTGGAAGGGACCTTAAACCATCTCATCCCACCCCCTGCCATGGGCAGGGACACCTTCCACTAGCCCAGGTTGCTCCAAGCCCTGTCCAACCTGGCCTTGGGCACTTCCAGGGATGGGGCAGCCACAGCTGCTCTGGGCAACCAGAGTGGTGAACTCAAGAACGAACACCTCTGATGGCCCTTCTGCCTTGCCAAAGCTGCCTCTTTGAATCAGGGAAGACTGTCCCCTGGGCAGTCTGGCTCCTCCCAGGAACAGAAAGAGCAACCTCAGGTTTTCGGTGCCCCATCTGACCTCAGAGCTGCTCCTAAACCTGCCCCAGCTGAGCTGCTCTGTCACGAACGTGAACCACCACCCTCCTCACGGAGCTGCAGAGGTTCCCCAGTGCCTTTTGCTGATCTCAGACTGTGTTGTTGTCCCATTACCCTTGCTAGAAAGCTACTTGTGATAGGATTAGAAGCACATCTGCCTTTCTTAGGGCTACATAACAGGTAGGGCAAAGCCTGATCAAACACAATGGTCCTCACTGGTTTCTGCAATGGGTTCCTGGCTCAGAGATGAACAATCTGCTATAAATCCATAGTTACGTCTGCAACTTGTATCACTGAATTTCAGCCCATTCTTGTGGTTCCATATTGAGACCATCCAGTTATTTTACCTCCAGCAGTGCTTTCTCTTCATCTGGGGGAATTTCCATTTTTATGTTCTCAGTCTTATAAGGTTGTCTTACCTTGTAAATCCACATTCCTTATAGTGGAGCATATGAAGGCCGGAAAATAGCAGGGATCCGGCAGCACAGCCTATACCTGCCCTGATCCTGCTCTGTTCTGGGCATTTTCTGGAGTCCACCTGAAGCTGGACAGACCCTAGTCTCAGCCCACATGTCAGTCCTTACCTTATCCTGCTTGTTGAAAAAGAAGCAAAACACTACTTTTAGGCTATTGGTTAATTTTAAGGATCATACACAAAATATCCTTAATATCAACTACAGTTACAGTGCAGAGTTCAGTTCTTCCATCTTTCCTTTGTAGTTTTAACAGATGAAGCATCTCAAGTTCTTCCCTCCAGCCTCCTTGAGGTCAAATCCCATACTACTCCCAGAGCATCTCTAAGACCAAGAAGTCTTTATTGATCTGATTTTCCTAATTCTTGTAGAGTGGCTACATACTCCTAATTAATTTCTTCAGGTTACTTTTTATCCACTTTGGTCCTACAGGTCTTTTTTTCTCCCTTGCTTGAATCACACACTACCGCCAGTTCTAATACGTTCAAGACATCCCAGATGTCTTCCACCTCAGATCCTAGAAGTCATTGGAGTTCTTTTTATTTAGCAAGCAGCAAATTAAAAGCTACTCATGGGATTCTCTTTAGCCTTTGATAATGAGGGATAGTGAACACCCACTCCCCATTCACCTTCTGCACACTAGTCATGACTTTAGAGGCTTCTCTCACATCCATCCCCTCTACACCTTTTCCAGAACGAAGAGTCCTAATCTGTTTCCTCTCTTCTTACACAGAAGTGTTTCTATACTTGGCTGTAGCTTTTCTAAGTTGTCCCCAGCCTCCTGAGCTGGGTTAACCCCCTGCTCAGGCATGTGGGATGGAGGCACTGACAACCTGATACAATGATGTTTAACTTCTGCTTCCTGAGGTTTTTTCTACTAATTACTAATATTAAGTTTGTCTTTCTTCCTCCAGTCAAGTGCCACGTTGCTGTTCCTGAGAACTCATTTCAACCACTCCAAGAGCTCTTCAGTGAGTGATAATAGTGCAATTAGGCCCCATCCATGTAACTGCATGATTACAGTTTGTTTTCCCTGCACACATTATTTTGCATTTGTCATCACTAAATGTCATATGCTGCATTAGCAACACCCACTCACAAACTCCAACACCAGCCAGCCTCCCTCTCTGGTGCACAGATCACTGCTCCCTGTCCCTTGGATCCTGGAGCATCTTCCTTAGGTCACGTGAAGTTCAGGAGATGCCAATCTGGCACCGTCAGGGCTGGGATTGCCTTCAGCCCCCAGGTTCATTTGTTATTCCAAAGCATCATTCTCTGTTCAGTTCTATTCTTCAGACAACCTCAAATGTGTTTATTTCAAAGTCTGGGAACTTATTTCTGCCCACAACCACACAGGTGACACATCCTGAATGTCAAATGAACTGCACACCAGTGAGGGCTGTCAGGAGCTATTCCTAGATCAAAGCCAGGACACCACAGGAGATGGTGTGCAGTGCACAGCAGGAGGTTGGGATGAAGGTAGTTCCCTGCCTACGCTGCAAAATGATGAATTTCATCAATTCAGTATAGAATCATGGAATCGTTAGGGTTGGAAGCTGTTCCCAGGTCATGGGGTGAGGAAGAAATGGAACCAGCATGGTCTGGGATGTGGTGTCATAGAATCATAGAATGGTTTGGGTTGGAAGAGACCTTAAAGACCACCTAATTCCACCCCGTCCTATGAGCAGCAACACCTTCCACTAGCCCAGGTTGCCCCAAGCCCCATCCAACCTGGCCTTGGACACTTCCAGGGATGGGGCAGCCACAGCTTCTCTGGGCAACCTGTGCCAGGGCCTCACAGGGAAAAATTCCTTCCATATATTGAACCTAAATTTGCCCTCTTTCAGTTTGTACCCACTCCCCCTTGTCCTGTCACTCCAGTTACCGATGAACAGCCCCCCTCCAGCTTCTCTGTAGCCCCTTCAGATCCTGGAAGGTGCTCTGAGGTCTCCACACAACCTTCTCTTCTCCAGGCTGAACACCTCCAGCTCTTCCAGCCTCTCAAATTTGGAAAGCTTCACGAATTTGTGTGTCTGGTATAGTGGAAGGTGTCCTTGCCCATGGGAGGGGATTGGAATGAGATGGTGTTTAAAGTCCCTTCCAGCCCAGCCCACTCTATGGTTCTATGAGTCTCTCAAGGTTTCCAGGTGTTCTGCACCCCTCGGGTGTCTCCAGCCTCAGCTGCACCTGCTGGCCCCATGAGCTGTACAGCCCCAAGAGCTGCATCACTGGCCAATAACCTGCACTTCCCACCCTAGAGCTGCAGCAGGAGCTGTGTGGGAGTGCAGAGCCCTCAGAGGTCTGAACCACCACCTGCATCCTCCCTGCAGGCACAGGGGGTCAGGGAGGTCAAAGAACAGACTGGCTGGGCTCTGTTGTGCTGGGGATGAGCCTGAGCCAGCAGAGCCAGCTGCTGGAACCAGCTCCTTCCCCTCACCCCCAGGGCAGAGCTCAGCACAGACCAGGCTCCTGTAGCCCCATCCCCCTGCTTGGAGAAGAAACTGGCTCCAGGTTAACAGCCAGTGTAGAGGCCAAAATATGAAGCACTGGGGGCATTTGCAGCACTGGGTGTGAGCTGGGGCCCCAGCTGATGGGGCAGTGAGGGCAGCAGACATTGCCTCCCAGCCTCTGACATCTCTTCAGTCTTGCTCTGCAGAGGATGGGGGGCTGCAGACACCACAGACTGGGTGTCTGGGTAACAGGGACAGGTGCTGCTTTTAGAGAGCTTTTCACTCTAATTTTTCTCATTTCAAAACCTGCAAAGCTGCAAGTTCCCACCTTTGTTTTTATAATACAATTTTTGAGCCATATAGTTTTGGCCCCTCTGTACTTGATGACACATTTAAAGCACAAAACAGGAGGCAAGAGCTGTGAAGAGAGCAGAGCCAGTCCCTTTAATGAGCTCAGCTGCCCTGATGGGATGAAAACAGCCAGTGCAAAAGCATTTTCATTACTGAAACTTGCTGCAGTGCAGGAATGTATTCCCAACAAAGGAGGGGATGGAAGGTGCTGTGTGCCTGTGGTTCATCTCAGTGCCTGGTCCCTCCCTGGGGTGCCCCCCGAGCTGCAGTTGTGACACTCACCAGCCGGTTGGCCAGGGCGATGGTTCTCGCTGTCGCTGCAGCCTCTTGCTGACACTTGAGCTTGTCTGAAGTAGCTTCCTCAAACTGGGCCCTGAGCCTGCCCAGGTTCTGGTTGAGGCGCTGCATGGGAAACACAGGAGAAAGCAACAGCACAGCTTGAACAACACGTGGAGCTGTTGGAGCAAGTCCAGAGGAGGCCATGAAGACACACTGAGGGCTGGAGCACCTCTGCCATGGGGAAAGGCTCAGAGAGATGGGGGTGTTCAGCCTGGGGAAGAGAAGGCTCTGGGGAGAACTTAGAGCCACTTCCAGTGCCTAAAGGCACTCCAAGAGAGCTGGAGAGGAACCTGGGGCAAGGGCCTTGAGAGAGAACAAGGAACAGTGGCTTCAGATTGAAAGAGAACAGCTTTAGATTGGATATTAGAAGGAAATTCTTGCCTGTGAGGGTGGGGAGGCCCTGGTACAGGTTGCCCAGAGAAGCTGTGGCTGCCCCATCCCTGGAAGTGTCCAAGGCCAGGTTGGACAAGGCTTGGAGCAACCTGGGCTAGTGGAAGGTGTCCCTGCCCACGGCAGGGGGTGGAAGGAGATGAACTGTGAGGTCCCTTCAACCCAAACCATTCCAGGATTCTGTGATGCTCAGGCAAACAGAGCTGCCTGGCCCTGTGGCAGGACTGGCCAAGCCCAGCTCACCCACTCTGGCTGGCATTACGAGCCAGCACAGAGCAGGGCTGGGCTGTGCTCCTGCTGGAACTCACACCCTCAGCACAAGGCAGAGGCAAAGGACACCCAAAACTAAGTTATTTGGGGCTCAGCCCTGGTGTGAATTTAAACTGGGTAAGGCCGGGGGTCCTTATGGCCAAGCCCCCAGGACAGTGCTATGGCTGAGCAACAAGCAGGCAGCTGAGGAAATCAAATCTGATACATCCTGATGCTGCAGTCCCTTGATCTCAGAGCAGTCCTTGAGGCTCTGCTGCCTCCCCAAGCTGTGCTTAAATCCCCAAGGGGCTCCTGGAGCAGCTGGAGGCACAGCTGAACCACATCCAAGCCATACCCTCACCCTGTTTCGAGAAGGGAATATCACAAGGAAGTCAGTAAAACTGTGCTGCTCTAAAAGTTGCTGAAACCTGTACCAGGAGCCCCCAGAGAGGTGGGACCACCTCCCATGGACATCAGTGCTGGAGCTTCAGGGCTGGAAAGGGACAGAAGGGGACCAAAGCACCTGGAGAAAAAGCTGAAGAACCCTTTGCTTGGACAGAGCTGTCCACACTCTGACCTAAAACAAATCAACAGCTCCCACGAGCACTTGGAGCATTTCAGTTCTGATAAGAGAAGTAATAATTGATTTTATCTGCACCCAGTGCAGACTGCTTAAGGCTAAACTGCTTGTAAATCACTTTAACACTGAGATACACACTAGAAACAAACCTGAAAATGAAAAAGGATTATATTAGGGATCTCTTCAGCCATCCTGGATACTGGCAAACGCAAAGCAGTCTCTCCTTGACCTGTGTTTGGAACTAATAACACAAAAAGTTTCTGTCCCTGTGTGCATATGGATGTATGTGCCTACAAAGCCTCATAGATCAAATCCTATTATTCAAGCACAACCTGATAATTGAGCATCTATAGAATACACACATACATCTGGGCTGAAGAACAGGCCAGACCTGCAGGACCCCACCAGACACACTCCAGAGTAACACACAAATACAGCTGTGAACACACCTCTGGCTTCTACCTCCACCCTCCCCGGGGCCACAGATCTTATTTCCCAGGCAGGCAAAGGAGAGGGAAAGGTATTTAGTGTTTCAGACAATCAGAATAGTCTCATTTATTACTAAAAATGGGTATGTGACATCTTGGGGCCCAGCTGTGAGCAGGTATGAATCAGCCCCACAGCAGTGAAGCTGCTCAAGGTATCCCAGCTCGACAAGCAAGGATGTACCTCCACATCCATCCCACACTGAGTAGCATCATTACCCATCTGCAGAGGGGAAAATGCACCTAAACCAGGCAGTTTTGTAAGTGCATGCCAGAGAGGTACCAGTAATCTCCCCAAAGATTGCAATTTGCTTTAACAAAATCCCACTCCTTTAAAAAAGAAGAAAAAAGAAAAAAAGAAAAAAGAAAAGCCCAGGCATTAAAAGCTTTTGAAAAGAGAAGCATAAAGGGATGAAAAAAGTTCCCCAGCAGTGTATTGAACATCTGAGGTGGGAGAATTAGACACTAATGCCCACTAAATCCATCCCTGCTCTTTTCATCTGCAGCAGGAAGGGGCGACCGGAGAGCTCAGCACTGGGTTTCTGTATTTCCAGGTAAAAAGTGTAGTAAGCATTTTAAGAATAATAAGCCATCAGAAACATCCAAAGAGTGATGTGTTTTCTGAGAGGAAGATGTGCTGGTGGAAAACATGAGTGCAGGGACCTGCTGCCCCTGGTAGGGCCCCTCAGGCACTCCCCAGCCAGTTCCAGCCATGGAGGGGATCCCACTCCCAAAGAGGGATCCCAGAGCCAAAGCAGCCTAAAACCAGGCAGGTTCTGGAGAAGCTCATTCCCACACTCTGTTCTTAGCAGGTATCAGCCTGGAGGGACCACAGAGGAAAGCAGCATAAGGCAGGATGTGTTTTTACATAGAGATAATTTTCTGAAGGAATGATTTTCTAAAGGCCTGAAGCCACACTCTGTGGAAATGCACTTTTAATCACGCTGGAATTTCTTCTATTCAGAGAAGTTTTTATTTATTTATTTATTTTTTAAGTAGGAAAAACCCAAATAAGGTACAAGATGTGCTGCCAGGAAGCTGTGCTGGGACAAATGAGGCTCCTACCAGAGCAGTTGTGATCCTGCAAATCCTGCCCATCCCCAGGGCCTGAGCACAGGGCCAGCCCAGCTCTGAATCAGCCTCCAGTGCCTCCCCTCTGCCCTGTGCACACACTGGGTACACACGTGTTTGAGATAAGGAGTTCCCTGAGGATCCATGAGAAGAAGTAAATTACATTACAAAAATTTGGTGGGAGTAATAAGAATTCATAATTAACCTGCCTCTTCAGGTTCAAGGTTGGAGAATAATCAATGGAATTTAGAAAGCAGCCATATCCTATCATACAGTTAAAGAATCCCAGAACGGTTTGGGTAGAAAGGGAACTTAAAGACCGTCTCATTCCACCCCCTGCCATGGGCAGGGACACCTTCCATTATCCAAGGTTGCTCCAAGCCCTGTCCAACCTGGCTTTGGACACTTCCAGGGATGGGGCAGCCACAGCTTCTCTGGGCAACCTGTGCCAGGGCCTCCTCATCCTCACAGGGAAGAATTTCCTTCTAATATCCAATCTAACCCTACTCTTTATCAGTTTGAAGCCATTCCCCCTTGTTCTGTCCCTCCAGGCCCTTGTCCAAAGTCCCTTTCCAGCTCTCCTGGAGCCCCTTTAGGCACTGGAAGTGGCTCCAAGTGGCTCCCTGGAACCTTCTCCTCCCCATGCTGAACACCCCCAGCTCTCCCAGTCTGTCTCCAGGGCAGGGGGGCTCCAAACCTCAGAGAGCCTTTGTGACCCCCTGGATTCATTCCAGCAGCTTCACATCCTTCTTATGTTGGTTGTCCCAGAGCTGGAGGCAGCACTGCAGGTGTGGTCTTACCAGAGTGGTGCAGAGGGGCAGAATTCCCCCCTTACCCTGCTGCCCACTCTTCCTGTGCTGCAGCCCAGGACACAGCTGCATTTCTGGGCTTCAGTGAAACACAAGGGATAGAAAACCCTACAATGGCCCAAACCTTTGGATCTCCAACCTGCCCTTAAAAAACCCACAAGTGCAGAGAAGCAGCTTTCTCCACAGCAGGGGGTTTCTCCCCAAGCAGTGACGGGTCCCACCACAGGGCACTTACAGCAATTTTGGCCTTGATGGTGCCCAGCTTGTCCTGGGCTGCTGCCAGCTCGGTGTTGGCCCTGCTCAGGGCCTGCCTCTTGGGCTGCACCTCACAGAACACGCCGTGGAAGCGCACGATGTTCACCACCCAGGAGCACAGCCCGGCCGCCGCTGCCGACTTGGTGGCCACGAACTCGGGGTTGAACTTGGGGTCTTGTAAATAAGGCTGGAGGGCTTTGAGGCAGTTCTCGTGGATGTTCTCCTTGTTGAACTTGATCAGGGAGTCCAGGAAGCCATCCACCCTGGCCATGGCCACTCTGGCTGCTTTCCAGCTCCTGTCCTTGGGGATCTTCCCTCCCGGGGCCGTCAGCACCATCACGGCCGCAGTGACGTTGCTGACGGCAGAAGGGGGTGACCCAAAGGATCTCAGCTCTGTCAGGTTGGTCTGGAAAGAGGAAAACAAGGTTGTCAGACAAAAATGAATGGGCTTGCTTTGCACTCTGCACTAATGGAGTCAGGCTCCCAAGCCATCAGTCTGATAAACTGGGCTCCTCTCAGCCCCCACAGTGCTGCCTTTAGAGCACTGCTCTGCATCTTCCCAGCACACCTGCTCCACTCCCTGCATCCAGCTCCTGACATCCCACCTGGCACCAGCTCAGCACACTGCTCCTCCCCACACTCCCTGCTGCCTGGGGGAGCTGGATGTTTCCTGCTCTTTCAGATGACTGGGATAAGGAAGAAAGAAATGTTTCCAAATAATAACCTCTAGAAATATCCCTCAGCCCCTCTAGAACAGCCTTCAGAGCTTCCCTTCATGCTCCCCTTCATGCTCCTTCCTCCCCAAGCTGAGATGATGATGCCAAAACACCAGATCCACTGGGTCCCATGTCCTGTTATCCTCAGGGCCCAGGGAATACAGCTACTGAGAAAGAGCCCAGGTACCCTTGCAGGGCAAGCAGCCAAACTGCACTGGAGGAGCTAAAAGGGCATTTTTGTCTCTAAACACTGATTTCTCACATTTTCAAACTCGCTAACACATCTGGGTGTGCATTTTTTTTTCTATTGCAGGTGCTCTGCACTGCATCTCTCACAACCCATCATAGTCCATAGAATAACTACCTGAATTATCTTACAGTATATACTTAAATGAGACAGTTTTATATATATATATAAAAACTATCTCATTTATGTATATACTTATCTCTCCCTAAGTATAGCCTCTCAATTTGCCTCAGTCACTCTCACTGCCACCAACCCCTGCAAAAGGTACTAACACTAAAGCAGGGGCAGAGGGGCTGCAGAAGGTCCCCCTGGCACAGTCAAAGCTGGGCTGACTCAGTCCAGGGTCACTCTTGGCTTACATGGAAAAAAAGGAAAAGGAAAGTTTAAACTGTAAGGAACAGAATGAGAGCTAAACCCTGCCATAGGCTGAGCCTGGCCAGCCCTCCTGAGAGCAGCGTGGGTACAGAGGATTCTGAGGGCACCAAAGGGAACTATTTAAAGCATCTGAAAGATAATCCTCCCACCACAAACAAAGGAGCAGAAATCAAGCTGGGTTCAAGTTGCAGCCCATGAGCAGGTAACGCTCATGGTGTGACCCCTTCACCTACTCACACACATCCAGAGAAGTACATATGCCTGAGGGAACAGCCTGGAGCTGTGTCAGGGCAGGCTCAGGTTGGATCTCAGCAAAAGGTTCTTCCCCCAGAGGCTGGTTGGGCACTGCCAAGGCTCCCCAGGGCAGTGGGCACAGCCCCAAGGCTGCCAGAGCTCCAGGAGGGTTTGGCTGATCCTCTGGGGCACAGGGGGTGACTCTTGGGGATGGGCCTGTGCAGGGCCAGGAGTTGGACTCGATGATCCTTGGGGGCCCCTTCCAATTCAGCATATTCCATGATTCTGTGCTCCTTCCCCTGGATTAGTGCAAAGGCATCTGCTCTCCCCAACTCTCCACACACTCTGCACAAGACACACATCCCTATGGCCATGGCTGCTCTTCTTTTGCACTGGCAGGTGACAGTGTCACAGGACTGTCCACAAGTCCACAACCTCACTGAGCTCCCTGGGAGCTGACTATATCTGTATTACTGGATTCTCCTCACCAGCTTTGCTCCCTGTTTGTCCTATTAATGTTGCATATAACTGTGCTGTCCAAGTAAGACACCTGAGATAATTGGGGAGAAACTAAATATACACACATAAACATTGCTGATTATTCATGTCAGAGAGCAGGTCAGGCTCTCTGATGCATTTCCAATCAGCAGATAAAGGAGGCCATGGCTTCCAGTGCTCTGCTACTGCTGCTTTACAGGTCCTGGAGAGAATCCCAGAAATGTCCCCACCTTTGTCTAATGAGATACTCCACAGCTCCAGCACAAAACCAAAACCAATGAGAGACAAACACCTTCCTTTTGTACAGTCCTTTGCCTTACAGGAACCAAAGCCAAAGCACATGTCTCTGCAGCAAAACCCAAAATCCCATCTTTCCCAAAATCTAATCCAACAGAGCCCCGATTCTGGATGGCCCAGAGTCACCTTCCTGCCTCCCAACAGGGCTGTGACTGAGCCATGGTCTGAGGGAGGACTGTGCCATTCCTTGATGTGATCATGGCAATAACAACCCTGCATTTTCCAGCTCCTGGATTTTCCCTGTGCCTTGTGTGCAGTGGGAGTTTGGTTCTCCAGGATGCTGCATGAACTGCAGATCAAAAGAAATTGCAGGTACGTGTCTGTTGGGCTCCAAATGGGAACCCCTGGAGCAGCCTTGGAGGACAAACCTTCCAAGGTACCAAAAGTCTTTCCTAAATCGGTCAGTTGGTCTCCTGCAATCAGAGCAGTCCTTATTTCCTGGTTATACATTTCCCCAGTGGCACCTTCCTTTGGACTGGTTTTATCTGCTCCTTTCCATGGACATGAGTAAAGGGGAACACGGTGCAGCCTCGTGGCTGCTCCAAGTTACACCAGGAACGCAGTGTGAACCAGCTGGGAAGAACCTGGAGGAGGGACAATACAATGCCCAGGAACTTGGGCCATCAGATGACACAGCCCCATTCCCCCAACACTGAAGAAAGATACTGGATCCCCCTGGGAATCCTCACCTTACCTTGTTGAGGGTGTTGAGAGCAGCCTGGGCAGCTGCCAGGGCAGGCTCAGCCTTGGCCAGATCCTCCTCACAGTCCTTCTGCTTCTGCTCCACCTCCTGGGTGATCAGTGCCACCTTCCTCTCCTCCTCGTCGGCCACAGCCTTTTTCCTGCTCACCTTCTCTGTCTCCACCCCCACCACCTGGATCAGCTTGTCAGCATCCTCACTCTTCTGCTTCAGCTCCACCTCCTGGGCTGCCAGCTTGGCCTTCAGCTCATCCACCTGGAGGGAAGACACGTGTGGAAGCACGACAGTCCCTGGCAGCCCTGAGTGGGACCCAAAGGCAGGGAGGGCCTGTGTGTGAGGCAGAGCCCTGGGAAGCAACATTTCCAGCTGTGGAAGGACACTCCTGCTCTCCTTTGCTGCACCAAGCAGCCTGGCAGCACTGAGGAGCCCCGTGAGGAACCCAGCTGGGGAGATCCCAGCACCAGCAGGATGCACTGCTACGGGAATTGTCCCACCCCTGCTCCCTGCCTCTGCTTGGAGACTGGACAGAGGGACTAAGGCAACTTGGACACTGCTTTGGGCAGGATCCAATGGGAAGTAGGAGGAAGCATTTCAGATATTCTTGGGGTGATCTTTATACAACCCAGGAGCCCCATCATGGACCAGGCACTTGCAGGAAGCTTCTGTCATTGTAAAATCAAATACACCAGCTTTGAACATGAGCTCTGATGTCACATCTCCCCTGTCTGGAGGTCTGCAGGTGCTGTGGGCAAGTGTTTTGTGGGAAAGATGACCTGGGATACAATTCTAGAACCATAGAATCTCCAGAGTTGGAAGGGACCCACAAATATCATCAAAGTCCAACTCCTGGCCCTGCCACAGGCCCATCCCCAACAATCCCACCCTGTCACTGAGAGCGTTGTCCAAACCCTCCTGGAGCTCTGGCAGCCTTGGGGCTGTGCCCACTGCCCTGGGGAGCCTGGGCAGTGCCCAACCAGCCTCTGGGGG